CTGTCTTTCTTTCTTTCTTTCTTTCTTTCTTTCTTTCTTTCTTTCTTTCTTTCTTTCTTTCTTTCTTTCTTTCTTTCCATTTATATAGCCCCCCATCTCAGAATTAAGCAACTCTAGCCAGCTTACAATAGAAAAAATTATAAAATAAAAATATTAAAACAATTAAAAGACATCAACAATATTATTAATAACAAGATGGTGGAGAAAATTGATGTTAAAAACAATGGAACCATCTCATCAAATCACCATTTCCTTGAGATCCTCAGGCCTGCTGACACAGCCATGTTTTAAGGGGCTTCTGAAAGGATGTTCAGGGTGGGGTCAATATATTTATATGCTGCACCCTTTGATTTGGCTTCTGAGCTCCCGTTTGCCTGCTTGCATCCCTCTTCATCTCATCTGGCCTCCCAAGGCGGTTTTTGGGTGGCATTTAGAATTCATCAACAGCTGAAGGAGCTGGGAAATAGAAGAGGTATTCTGTTTCTTCTCTCCCAGCACCCCCTCCACATGTGAGTTCTGGAGAAGTGATAGAAGCATTTCCAGGGACCAAGATGGAAGTGCCTGTGCTTCCTGACATTTGAGAGTGTAGAAAATAGAATTTTTCCACTTTTGATCAAGTAAGGGGCATGCATTATTCAGTTTTCGTATTGTAGGGAAGTAGCACCTTAACTGTCATGTCATGCTTTAGTCTGAGAGTTGGGTGGAGCTGGTTGCAGCAAAATCAGGAGCCTCCATCATGGATGTCAAGGGAAGGGCAGAACTGACTGAAAGAGAAATCTTGGTGGGGTGGCGTGAGAGGAGGCTTTTTGGTGGAGACAGGAGAGACCGAAGAGATGGATGGTTGGAAAAGAGATGCGTGCTTAAAGATGAATATCCACATGTGTTTTGCATACTTGTGTGAGAGAGGAGGGAAGACACTGGAATTCTCAATAAATGGGGTGCATGCTTATGTATTTTTGTAAATAAAAGGGTGGTATATGAGACAGATAAGAAATGAGCAATCAAAGTGGGGCGGGGGAGGAATTACTTAAGAAGTAACCATACAAACTGCATTATTATGTGTCTATGTCATAATATATGTTTCTAGGCCTGAAATAATTGAGCACTTAATGCCTGGGTGCCTTAGATCCAGTCTTCATTTATGTAAGAGTGAGAGGACATGTAGAGTTGTTTCTAGCTACTGAGTTGGTTTTCTTTGAGTGTACAGTGTGCTGTGATTCTTTGAAGTTCTGGGTAAATGTAGCCTTTCAGAATATATCTTGATAAAGCATTGGTTTCAAAAGAAATGGAAGCCACTTATTCTTCATCTGCCCTTTTTTCAGTACCTGGGACCAATTCTGGCCTGATAATTGTGACCATGTCTACGGGGATAATATGCCGAAGATTTTCAGGGCGATCTTGCAGGACAACTGCATTTTCCACTGCAACCAAGGCAGAGACAACAGAGATCTTCCCAAAAGGAGAAGAAGGCCACCGCACCAAAAGAGGAGGCAGAGATTTTAAACCTGCTGTTGCACCCAAACTTTGGAAGCCTCCAGGTTACCGGTTATGTTATTATCCCTCCACTTCCCTGGAAACTAAGTGTCTGCTTCACAAGGATGCCCCCAAAGGTTTGACAGAAGGATCACTTGAATATGTTTGCTCCAGAACTAGTATTAAATGCACCCAGAATACACACAGTGTTCCCTGTCCCCCAATGCTTCCAAGAATAAAGAGCATGCTTCTGGATTTGGAAAACAGCAAGGCTTTCTGCACTCAAGCTTCCCTGAGGGAACCACTGTTACTGTCCCCCATAAAGAATGACAGGGAGGACGTCTATTTAGAGACTTATGGTAGTAAGGAAGCGGCTAGACAATTCCAGAAGCAAAGGCCTGAATACAAATCTCTGTGTTACATCCAAGATGAGTGCCTTCAGCCCCTTTCTGTAGAGGAATGTCATCTTATCCTACAGAAAGTCTCTGTATTGAAAGAACGCATGAAACCAGAGGCCGTTGCAAACTCTTTCTTCAGGTTGAGCCACTTGCCAGCAGAAAAACACCAAACCATAAAATCTAGTGCCAAATTTGCTGTGCTGTGTCAGAATGTAGTTAACAGCATCCATCTGTTTGAGAATTCTGAGCTGATTGTGCTTTTAAAAGCCTTTGTCTCCTTAGCCATTCCGCCCATCCATCAAATGTTGAAGGTTGTTGAAACCGAGTGTTGCCGACGGGTCGGGCACCTGAGCTTGGATCAACAATTGCTAGTAGCTGATCTGTGGCGTTGCTTGAATTGCAAGGTCCCTCAGTATTTAGATGTTATGTTGAATTATATTAACATGAACTGGAATGATCTGTCTTTGACCCAGTTGGTTCAGCTAGTCTACATTGTTGGTGAAGGCCGCAAGGCCCATGAAGACTTAATGAAGAAGCTAGAGGCTTCGGTGGCAAAGCATTTGGATTCCCTCAATCTAGAGGAAGTGGGCATCATTTGCTTAGGGTTCTTCAAGACACAAAGTCCTATCTCTGAACCCATCATGCGAAAAATTGGAGATAAAATTTGTGACTGCCTGGGAGACATGAGCAGTTTTGCCATAGTGAATGTCCTCAAAATGTTTCGTGGGGTTCACATTGATCATGTAGACTTTTTAAAGCAGCTTGGGCATGTTATTCCTCCCCGGATATCAACTATCAGCATTCAAGGGGTCATGCACATCGCATTTGCTTGCTCCTCCTTGCATTATTGCAATGAAAACATCATGAATGCTGTGGCTGCTGCTGTTCCTCCCAAGGCCGCTTCTTGCCGAACCAAAGACATTGCCAAATTATTGTGGTCTTTTGGAAACATGAACTATGAGCCTCCCAATGCAGAAGAATTCTATGCCAGCCTGAGGGAGCAGTTGGAGTCGAGATTGTTTGAATATAATAAATTCCCTGAGCATTTGATCACCTCCTTAATTGGTTTGGCCTTTGTAAAGCAGTTCCCATATGACTTGCTTGATTATGCTTTGAGTCCTGAGTTTATCAAATTAAGCAGCATATCTAAATATGACCTCTGGAAGGATTTTTTCACCCTCGATGGTACAGTGGAAATTGAGTGTCCGAGCTATACTGGCAGTCGTCTTTCAACGCAAAATAAGCAGGAGATGGCAGAAAAAATGCAGAACTATTCCCTGAAGCAGGAATTTGCTGTAGCTTGGTCTCTCCTAGAGGACATGCTGGGTGGCTCCCAGTATGTCAAGCTCCATGCCATCTTGCCTCATACCAGATCTGTTGATTTAGAAATTCGTTTAGATTCCAACCAAAAGCCGTTGCCATTTAATTCAAAAGGTGCAACGGCAGGACGCTCAGAACTGAAAAAGAATGGCACGTTCCTCACAGATAACATAATTAATCAGCTTTTGAAAGGGAAATCGGTCAGCCAGCCCATCCCAAGCGATGGCAAAAGCAAGAAAGACGTGCATATTCAGAAAAGGGCAGGATCTCGTGAACTACCTATTTGGAATAATTTGGAATTTTCTGACCGGATTTTGCTTGCTGGCCCCAGTTTGAACACTTCGGTCAATGCAAAAGCTGAAGGTTTACCCTCCATGATAGACCAGGAGCAGCAGAGATGTGTGAAATTAGCTCTTCAGGTAACCAACAGAAACCAATACAGGTATCACTCAAGAGAGCTGCTGGGGCTCCACTCTATGAAAAGGAGACAACTCCGTCAAATTGGATATATACCAGTAGAACTGCCTTTCTGGGAATGGTTTCCATTACTCAGATGTAGCCATGTGGAACAACTGACCTATTTATGCCAGAAAGTGTATGAAAGGTAGCAAAACATCAAATAGAACATTAAATAGAACCCGACATCTTGTGCTAATGACTTGAGTTTTAGCCCTGTTGCTTGAGATGACCTAGCTGGATGCCCTTCTGCTGGATAATACCTGGTGTTTCTGAGCTGTTTGATTTCTGTTCTCTCTTTGCAGGGTCATAATCAGTACTCTTAGAAGGGGCAATACCTGCTTTCAGCATGTTTCTTTTGGGGGGAAGGGGGCAAAAAGATTTCATGGTGATTCTTAAGGAAATAAAATACTACTTCTAATACAGTTTTATTTTACTTTTGCTTCACAACTTTGCCCCCAAAGGAGCAGCTGTCATAACTTGAAAGACCAAGGAACCAAAACTTTGTGAATATTCATAATATACACAGAGTCCAGCAGTCAGTTTACCCATAATTTGAGTGAACATATCTCACAGTGCTGGCTGATGATCTGTGAAATGGGAATTAAATGTGCTTGTATTTGGAGATATGTAAGAAAAGTTGTAAAATGCCTTGCGCTTGTGTATATATGTGTATGAGAGAGAGAGTTGCATATGTGCATGTATTACTCTGAGTGGATGGCACCATCTGTCCCACTCTGTCTGGTCTTGGAAGCTAAATAGGGTCAGGCCTTGTTATTATTTGTATGGGCAACCACCAGAAAATCCTTGGGGTAAGTCAGAAAACATCTCAGAGGAAGTCACTGGGAAACCATTTCTGTATTGCTGACAAAAAACCTACATGGAGATGTCTTTGAAGTTACCAGAAAGTGAGTTCAACTACTTTAGTATATATTTGTGTGCGTATATGACTCCAGTAGGCAAGAACAACCTGGTGTAAGAAATGCAGTTTGGCTAATGGGGAATAGGTGTGTGATATTTTCTCACACATTTCACTTTAATTTTTTGCTAAGAATTATTGGCACGCAAAAGGAAAATCTGGATGTTCCAATAAATGGCTAGAATATATTGCAACATTTAAAATATACTTTTATTGCTCTTGTTTATTTTTTATTTATTGTACTTATTCTGCTGTATAGTGTTGATCAATAAAGGCTTATGGCAGAACACAAAAGTGTTCAGAAACAACAGAAGCAGATGGCTTGGTTGAAATTGTTGCTAATAATTACATCAGAGTTAAAGAGGTAGGTGAGGATGACATTTGCATAGAATAGCAGGAACAGTACATGGAAGCATAAGGAACTTGTTTTGGATAATAGGGTCATGTGACCTGGAATAATGAATTTATTTTATTTTTAATAGTGAAATACAAAAAAATACAGGATCCACAGGAAAAAAGATAAAGGGTGGTTATAGAGTGAAGGGGAAAAAACCCTAAATATATTATAGTGGTTAAAATAAAATAAACATAACCAAAAAGGGGGAAAGGCTACTTTTTAAAAAAATCATATAGGATCGATGAGTATTTACATAAAATTATTCCAGTCCTTATGCTTATCATTAAATGTAAAACCATATAGAAACATATTTTATCTTTTCATTTTTAGAACACAGAGACTTTTCAAAAATAGATGATCCATATCCTGAATCCATTCATTAAAATCAGGAGAAGTTTCTTTCCACTTACGTAAAATTATCTTTTTTGCCATGCCCTAGGCTCAACTGAGCCAAAGCTTTTCATGAGATGACAAATTCTGCATTTTAGGATTATAATTCACCATCACATTCAGGTCCCTAGCTTACAACTTCCAAAATTGAATTGACATGTAATAATCTGAAACTAAAGTGAGACTATAGTTGAGCAAGACCAAATTATATGAGTTAAAGAACCTTCAAATTTCTTTCAAAGCCAGAACAACCACCACCACAAAAGTCTAATGTCCAAGTCTTTTAAAATATTCTTTGAGGCATCCAATAAATACAAAATAATATTTTCTGATGAATTCATTTCATTTTAAAATCATAAGTATATTTTGCATTTCCTAATAGCTGGACCCATTGATTCTGCAAAATTTGACACTCCAATTATTCATTCCACAATTCAGATGTATAATTAATGCTTTCATTTTACTTACTTATGACATTGGAATGTTGGTTTCTATTCAAGCTCTGCATCTTTTAAGGATCCTTAAGTTGCAGATGCCTCAGAGACTGCTAAAGCATCCGGGAGATACCATAAAGTTAGTACAGTACATGTTTCAGTTGTATATATTGCCAAGGAGTAAGTCATATTCAAATGGCAATCCTTCAAACTCTTTAAAACAACCATTAGAAATTGACTGATTCAAAGTATTGTTCCCTTGTTTGGCCCAAGCATTCCAATAAAACATCTTTCCTCCTATTTTCAAAATTGGGTTATTCCAGAACATCAGTTTCTCACGATTCGGGATCAAAGTGTAACCGCTTACCCTTTCTATAACCAAATGTGCCTGGCAGCTTTCAAGTGTGGAAATAAAAATCTCTGTTTGATATACTTGGACCCCAAAACATGCCAAGATTTCAGAGGTATTACACACCCTCCAGGTAGAGAGAATATTCATAGGAGATCTCATTCCAACAGAATAAAGATGCTGAAATAAAAGGCCAATGATGCATTGAAAATCTGGTAAATTAAAGCCATCATTGTCATGAGGCAACCTCAGTTTGACCATGGTTATTTGAGGAATTTTAGCTTTCCATAAAGTTTTTGTCACTACTACCTGCGTGAAATGCCTAACAGGGTATCCTTATTAAAATATGCGTTAATCTTGACGTAATATTCCTTTTAATAACGATCTTACATCAGAGATCTAATTGAAGTTTTAACCCTTGAGTTATATCTACCTAAGCTGCGTTTATGCATTTAGGCATGCTTAATTCAAAATACTCTATTTTGAGAATGATATTAAGTATTTTACAGAGTCTGTACTCTGTAAATTGTAATCTTTTACAGTGGTCTACAAATACAACAGCAAATTGCGACTTTTTCCAGTTAATAGTATAACCAGAGTATAAACTATATTTCTGTACAACTTCAGTAAGTTTTGGTAATGACACTGCATACTCTTCCAGAATAGCCATATCAAAACAATTTGTATTCATTGCCAGGTGTCACCACACCCTTAATAGCTTGAGGCTATCTAATAGAAGAAGCCAGTGGTTTGAGAACCAAATTGAAGATTAAAAGAAACAAGGGGTATCCTTGACATATGCCACATTATAACTTAATAGGTTGAGAGACAAATTCACTTGTAAGAACTCGAGCCGGTGGGAAAGATATCAAAGTGAAATTTGGTGAACATAAGTTGGTGGAAACCTGTATCTCCTAAAGAATGCACTTCATAAATTCAGTGTGAACCGTATCAAAGGCCTTTTCAGCATTCTAGTTTGTCGCCATATCCGAAAATTCACCTGGCAGATTTTATCTGATTGATTTATCAATCCAGACTGAAATGAATGGATTATAGATGATATTACGAATGAGATTAATAGAAATGGCAAGATAAAATGGCCTTATACTTTTCCACCTTCTGGGCCAGTGTTTCTCAGCCTTGGTAACTTCAAGATATATGGACTTCAACTCCCAGAATTCCCTAGCCAGCATGTTACAAGAGCATCATTCCAAATTCCAAGCCTTGTATGGCTGCTGATTGACCAGAAGTTCTGGAAGGTCTCAGGTTGGAGGTAGCCAATAGCTTTCCAAGACCTTGGATAGAAATCCTGCCATAAGAATCAGGAATACTGTTCTGTCATCCCTTCTGTAATGCTGGCCACAGTGGAGAATGTGGAAAACTAATAACTTCTCTTACTTGCAGCTTGTCAACCTTGGTTGTGAATTCACAACTCTCCTACTTTTGCACCAGGTGGCTTTCTTTAGCTGAATCTAGTTTGTTTAGGAAAGCAAGGGATGTTTTGGGGCAAGTCCATTCTCATACATGTTAATCTGAGGAAGATTTTCCACATATTTTCCATGTATTTTGGTCATTATTCTCAGGCTACTGAACTCATTCATTCATTCATTCAGTTCTACTCTTGGTGGGTTGCAATCAGTAATTTGTAATAAAATGTCCACGGTATAATCAGTCAATGCAAACAGCCCACAGTTCAAAAGATACTGTCAGATAGTCAATCACATTAGTTTTTGAAGGTTTTTTCCCTTGAAATTTCTGCTTATTACCAGTGTCAACACCATATACAAAATTTATGGATTCCTCTGTGTTAGGGTGGGCTTGATGAGTCCTCCAAACACAACCGAGAGGCTAATGTTGAACCTCAACATGTCTTGCAAAAAAGGTTCCTTCTGTTTATTCCAAGTCAAATCAAGGCAGTTTGGTCTAGTGATTAAAGGCACCAGACTAGAAACCAGGAGATGGTGAATTCTAGTCCCGCCTTAGGCATGAAAGTTGGCTGGGTGGCTTTGGGCCAGTCCCTCTCCCTCACCCCAACTCACCTCACAAGGTGGTTGTGGGGAAAAGAGGAAGAGGAAGGAGTATTAGGTATGTTTGCCACCTTGAATTATTTATAAAAATAATAAGGGGATAAAAAATCTTTTTAAAAAAGTATCAGCTGTCTTGCAGATGTAATGAATTACAGTGTCTATTATATCTTGCCTACCTTGATGATTTGCAGTAATAACCAAAAACAAGACTTTTCAAAATAAACAGTAAAATGGCATTAATTAGAATTAAGGCATAAGACTAAAATACGGCAGGCTAGTAACTATAAGAAGATTATTACAGAGTGGTTTGTAAAACTTGAAGGATTCCAGAAAAGATGTGGATCAAAACAATCAAGAGACAGAGTAATTCCCCATCAAGAATAGTTAGAATCTTTGCGGGGGGACCTTAATAAATAAAAGTTTATACATAATGAAAGACTTGGAAGGAGAGCATACAAGTTAGGCATGGTATGGATTGGAAGAATGCTCTTAGGATCATCTGGGAAAGCTCTCATTCTTCGCACAGCACCCAGTTAAACCCTGGAATTTGTTTCTGCAAGAAGGAGCGGTGCCTGTCCACTTCCATGATTAGAAAGAATTCATGTCAACAAGTCACTGTAATTGTATAGAAGGGAGCAGGTCTCTTAGTGGGAGTCATTGGGAAGTAGGAATGGAAGGCAGCTGGAGGGGAAGAACTCATGCGCTCAGCCGCCTTTGGGGCATCTCACGGACTTGCGTTTGGTTGTAGTGCAGAGAGTGCTGGACTAGCCAGGACTTCAGTGTGACCCAGCACAGGTCTTGCATTTTTATTATCCTACATTACCAGTCTGCTATGGCTTAAAAACAATTGTGTGTTTTTATTTTAGAGCCAGATTAAAGTTTGGGAAGCTGATTTCCATCCACAGCCATAAATATGGTGATCAATGTCTGCCTTCCTCAGTTCAAGCCACGAATTCACTGCAACAAGGTATTTTGTCTGGGGCAGAAAAAATACAATACAATACAATACAAATACAAATACAAATACACAGAGGACCTGGCTTGGAGCAGGAAATCTGTATCAGCGGAGTTAAGTTAACCATCACAGGGATCAAGGGACCCGGTGACTCAGCAGCTCATTGTAGGACTAAGTCAGCTGTGCTTAGGTACAGGGGCTCCCTGCTGCTTATGCATATCCTTTCTGAGAAATGCAAATAATGGCACCTGCAGAGCAGCATCCGGGGCAACTTCTCGAACAAATTGTTTGGATGGCTCAAATTGGCCCCCAAAACGAACAGGGATGGATTTGGTAGCCTTGATTGCAAAGATGTAGCTGCGAGGAAAACCAGTTTTGCTAGCTGGCTAATTTTGACACTGGCATGTCTGCTTTTGATCTATACATTTAATTTGGCATTTTTTCCCAGACATCCTCCGGTTGTTCTGCAGGTATTTTCATCGATGGCAGAGTTAAACAGCACTGGCGTGCAAGTGCCTCAAAAAAACTACGTGACTAGCATAACAGACCAAAGTGTTAGTATTGAAGGGAGAACCCAAACCTCCCTACACGATCAGCAATTATTCAGACATTTAGGAACTAGCAATTTTCTTCCTAACAGGAGGGCCCACCAGATGCAGGGACTTCAACTCCCAGAATCCTCAAGAATGGCCATTTCTGTGTTGGCCAAGAAATGCTGGGTGTTGAAGTCTACATATCCAGAGAGTGCC